TTACCTACTAAGTCCCATGATCCTCTCAGTGGGTGCTTGCAAGTTGGAGGATGCCAACACTTCAATGACAGGCAATATTACCAATCATGAACGCGATGATGGTAGTTATGGCCAGCATAGACGCCCGCGTGGATGTCGTGCGTCGTCGTATGGCAGCCCCAAGGGTGGAGATTTTGGCAAATTTGCAGCTGGACTGTTTCTTCAAGTCGCAATCATAGCGATAATCAAACTTTGCCGCCATGCAGGAACACTCCTTAAACGCGCAAGCCTTCTGCCATCGCGAATCCTCATTATGTATGTCTGCCCGAGCTTTGACCTAATGAAGTCTCCTCAAAAGTAAACTCGTTCCGATGTTGTCTTAGCACAAGATTCTAAGAAAGCACAACCTGTAACAAGTATTCATCCGCTGCAGGGCATAACCTTTGTCCGGGAGCCCATCTTGCTTACGTGGTTCAGGGCTAAACGATTTCGACCGTCACTCCCAACCTTGTACGTAACACCACGCTTGTAATCTTGCAAGCCTCGCCATCGTCATTGAGGTAGATCTTGCCTTCACCCTTGGTATCTTTGTGCCAATGTTCGATATCATCTCCCACGAGCTTTGCAACCTTGGGGGCCATCCTTCAAAACCTGCAGACTAGCCTCGGTGCAGGACATGAAGATGTGAAGATGTGTGTGGTTTCAGGGACCGGCGCCTTCATGCAATACTCGAAACGCCTCGTTACCGGCAATGAAGAACCTTCTCTTCAATGCCCCAAACTCCCACTTCAACCCCAAAGCAGCCTGAATCCCGAACCCCCGAGCCCCCACGCTCCTGAAGGCCTCGCCTCGGCTCCCATCACTTTGAACTTCAAAACTTGGTAGAGGAAGCGGCCCAAGAATGAATTGCGCAGTGCCCTTGCTCACGAAAGCCGCAGCTGTAAACTGTAACATCCAAACCTCCGAAACCCTAAACTATCTAGACCCGAATCCCAAATCCCCAGCCCTAAACCGCAAGCTTCAACCGCTAAATCTCCAAACCCAGCGCCTTACCAAAGCAACCATGACCCAAAAGGAGAAAAAAACGAGAAAGAGCTTCCTGAACCCATGGAGCCAAATACAAGGCCCCCTTCCAAAGTCTCATCGCAGAGCTGTAAGACCTCATAAACACCGAAACACAAGCTAACATCTCAACCCTGGACCCTGGGAGACGAAGCCAGACCCTTGAAAGGATCCCACAGATGGACCCCTAAACCCTAAACCCTAAACCCTAAACCCTAAACCCTAAACCCTAAACCCTTGAAAGGATCCCAAAGATGGACACCCTTGCCTCGCTGATTCGACCGGGGGAGACTTTGAAGTCTACCGTCCCGTCCTGAGTGTTTGGCAGGGCCGGTTTAGGACTCAGGGTTCCGGGGGGAGGGGGGGGGGGGCTATAGGCCTTTATAGCATTTCTATCGGGCTATTAAGCACCCTAGGATTTCTACAGGGTGTCTAGAGTAGATTTTGCGGGTTTCGTTTCGAAGGGTACACCCGCATGGGCAATAGAGCACCAGTTTGCCAGGCCAGTGGTTGGTTCGTGTCAGGCATGAAGGTCATAAGTAGACAGACTGAATCCGGAAGTTGGCTAAACTAAGTACAGATTCGACGACAAAATCTGTTTCTGTTCGGGTTTCTGAGTATGGCTGCAAAGTTGACCGGAGACACTCGTATAAGTTCGAGCATGTGCAGATATGTGCATGTCGTAACACGTACACCTATCTTGTCAACTTGTACAGTATATATGTATATACATGTATACATATGCTTAGATTGCACGTTACACATGTACATCTTGCAAGCTGCAAGCGTACATACATACATACATACATACATACATACATACATACATACATACATACATACATACATACAAGGCGCAAACACCAACATGCATCTGTATAGTTTTCACGTGTGACATGTATTCTGGAGCCTGCTGACT